GGGCCCATGGCCTCGCCTTCGGTGGAAGCCTGTGCGATACCTGAAAAATGTTCCCATAAAGGGTGAGCTAACGCTCAATAGGGTAACTCCTATAGAGAATACCTCTCAACCTAAATGAATATGGAATGTCACATGCAACAATCATTTGATACATTCATTTAAATATGTCTATTATGATTGAATGTTATAGGTCATGTCATGCCATGAGATGAGACTCACGCAAGCAATACCAACCCCGAGCCCCATCCTGAGCTCCCATAACACATGCAATGTCATGCGTATGTATCCGAGCATTCCAAGCCCCCATCATTGGTGTTATGTACACTCATGGCTAATTAATTCATTTTCTTGTGTCTTTGTGGGGAGATGATTTATGGTATTACACCAATGGGACACCAACCATCAACGGATCTTCAGGACATCCCACCTGCGGCTCCGTTTCCGCCGTTACACTTTTTTGGAATTTCACCGCCGGAAAGTGTATAAACCAAGTAAGCGGGTCTTGCACCCGAGGGAGAATCTAGCCCTTCGTGCTGTCCCCAACACATTTATCCATTTAATTTCTCGTGCGACTCAACCGAACCTTGGTGCGACTTTTCCGAGTCCACGTTCAACCACCTACGTGGTGATTGATTTCATACCATGCATACACTCTCACCCATGTCAATGCCCATGAATGTAGTGCAACCCATGCATAATGAAATACAATGTAATGACATTTTAACACGATCTCAAGCATGTTATGTAAGATAATCAACTCAACTAACATACTTGTATTCACCTAGGCATTTAATCAAACACCTAAAGAGCACATCAATTTACACAACTAGCATGCTATGACTTGCAACATGATAACATGTTTAACATAAGCACAAAGTCCACCAAAATAATCATATGTTAAATAATCATTTAACATATATATATTATTTCACAATCATATAACAAGTTAATAATTTTATTAAACTTGATCTTCCATTAAAATATAAAGTAATGCTAACATACAATTAACATGCTTTAAACTACTAACATTAACTTATACCAAGTTAATCACAATAGAATTTTATTAATCACAAGATTAATTATAAATTCTATATTTGACCCACTAGTCAAGACCTAACATGTGATATACACTCATAATCTACTCATTCCATATGTCATATTTTAAGTTGAAATTAAATCTAAATAGGGGAAACCCTACCTCTCGTAGCGTGAGACCACTTATAAGAACGCCAAGGAAGCCCAAATTTAGCTTCCTAAGTTTTAGGTCTGGATTATCGGCTTTGAGATACCTTCGAAGAAAAATACGATCTTTGGTGTGGTTGCGTAGCTCTCGCTGAGTAGAGCAACTTTAGTTCTTGGCCCGAAACGATTAAACGGTTAAATTTTCCTAGATCTGAGAAGGAAGAAAAGAGAAAAAAATAAAAATAAAAACTCTCTCTTTCTCACCGGCTGTAGAACACCCCAAAAAGTGGAAGACAAAGTCTTCCACTTATATATGTATATATATATTATTTTTTTATTATTTACGTTTTTGACCCATAATTTAACAATTAATTATTATTTTACCCTTTTATTTTTATTAGGATTAATAATATATATATATTTTTTTATCGGGTTTTATTACAGCGTGGTACTATGTATATTCCTTCAGGCATCGATCATGGTGTCTCCACTGATTGCTCAGCTTGTGTGGTTCCTATTAGCCACAATGATGGTCATCAAGGTGGACATGGTAATCATAGTGATCGTGGAGGTCAGAGAGGTTGTACAAGAGGTCATACGAGCGGTCGTGGGGGTCGTAGTGGACCTCGTTCCTGTACTCACTATGGTTGTGAAGGGCACATTGTTGATTTTTGTTTGGATTTACATGAAAAACCTTCTGGTGTTGCTAATCATGTTTCCTTTCAAGATGACACCTCAATTGTTGTTTCTATACTTTGGTCAACTCCACTAGACTCTGGGTTGATTACTATTATACGTGAGGAGTATGCTCAGTTCATGTCCGAACAACAAGTTGCTCCATCTTCTTCCACTACTACTTTTGCCTAGTTAGGTACTGCTTCCACTTGTTTATTGTCCTCCACTCGCAGTTCCTGGATCATAAACTCTAGCGCTTCTGACCACATGACTGGTGCGTCTGGTATTTTTTCTACTTATCAGTCTGCTACTTCTATACATAGTGTTACTCTTGCTAATGGTACTTGTTCTAAATTTTCAGGTTTTGGAACTACTCACTTGAGTTCTGATATGTCCCTATCATCTGTGTTATTTGTTCCTCAATTTTCTTTTAGTCTACTTTTCATTAGCAAGATTACTCGTTTTCTGAATTGTCTGTAAACTTTTATCCCTCTTATTGTGTCTTTTAAGATCTCAAGACGAAGAGCAAGATTGGTATGGGGTATGAAGTTGGTGGCCTATATTACTTTGATTTTGATACACCTACCCGGCTCTACAGACCTCGTTGTCTCCTTTTCAATGGTATTGTCGTCTTGGACATCCTTCTCTCCAAAATCTGAAGTGTCAAGTTCTCAGTATTAGTTGTGTGTCATCTTTGTCATGTGAAGCTTGTCAACTTAGTAAGCATCATCGTGTGTCATTTCAGTCCAGAGTCAATAATCGTGTGTTTAGTCCATTTAAGTTGACACATTCTAATGTATGGAGTCTAATAAAGAATATTTTATCTAATAAATATCCTTATTTTGTGTCATTTATGGATGACTATTGTCGTGTGACTTAGTTGTTTCTGATGAAAGCTCGATCTAAATTATTCTCTATACTTGAGACCTTTTGTAAGAAAATAAAGATTCAGTATGGTTGTCGTATACGTATTTTACGTTCTGATAATACTCGGTAATATGAATATAATCCTTTTTCAACTTATCTTAGTAAAATTGACATTATTCATCAGACTTCATGTGCTTACACATCTCCACAGAACGGTGTTACTGAACGTAAGAACTGTCATTTCTTGGAAGTCATCTGTGCCATGTTATTTCAAATGAATATTCTTCGATATTTTTGGAGTGATGTTGTTCTTACTACTTGTCACCTTATTAATCGTAAGTCATTCTCTGTGTTAAATGAGCAAAGTTCGTATTCTAGAGTACCACATTGAGAGGCAATTACTCGTATTCTGTGATATCTCAAACGAGCTCCTAGACTTGGACTGTTATGTCGAGCTAATAGACGTCTTAGAGTGGAAGGTTTTTCATATGCTGATTGGGTTGACTTTCCTTCTGATTAGAGATCAACCACTAGTTATTGTACTTTCTTAGGAGGTAACGTTATCTCATGGAAAAGTAAGAAATAATCTGTGGTAACAAGATCCAATGTTGAGGCTGAGCATAGGATAATGGTGCATACAGCGAGTGAGTTGACTGGCTACTACACTTTCTCCAGGAAATTGGGTTTCCAGTTCAACATCATTTACATTTGTTCTGTGACAACTAGACAGTAATCTATATCGCTGTTAATTCAGTGTTTCACGAGAGAACCAAACATATTGAGGTTTATTGTCACTATATTCAGGACAAGATAGCAGTTGTGGAGATTACGACTCTATTTGTGAAATTTGAAGATCAGTTTGCAGATATATTTACCAAAGTATTGAGTCGTACACGTCTTACAGCGATTTGTTCTAAGTTTGGATTATATGATATTTCTAGTCCAGTTTGAGGGGGGAGTGTTAAAAGTATTAGGGAGTATATGTAAATTATTAATAGTGTTAGGATATTATGTGTAAATATAAGAAAATGTATGTGTAATTCTTATTATTGTGAGTTAACTATAAATACAAGTGATGTGTGCGAGCAAGGTTAAATTTTTAATCTCTCTCTGTTTCTCTTTAATATTGTGCTAATTCCCAAAACACTTAACAGAAATCATAAATCCTCTTGTAGCAGAAAGCTTGACTATCAGACCTGCTGCCTTATGTCTCATGCCAAGGACTTGAATTATGCAATCATAGAAGGAGACTGACAGAATGTTGTACAGACAGTAAGGCCAAATCACATCAAGCCAATATAGGCGGTCTCACCATTAATACATGATCTAAACGACATGTTACAGCTCTACCCTGACTGGAGCATGGTTCAAAGCAGAAGAAATGCTAATGAAGCTGTGCATGAATCGGAAAATTGGGAAGTACTCTTGCACTATATTGGCGCATTACCATCAGATAACCTTCTTAGCTCTGTCACGGAAAGAATTAACCAAGAGGCACTTGCAGTGTTAGCTAAGACTTAGGCTAATGTTTTGTTTTGTTATGGTACAATTCTTTCCAGGAACCTCAGTGTTTACACTACAAGGACAAAAATAACTTTGTTTGGGTAAGTTAATAAAATTGTCTATAGCATAATAACATGGATTCTTGCACGGGTTATTTAGTCGTAGAGAATTGTACTCGAGAATTAATTTTAACTTTTTAGCATACATGTTAAGTGGACAATTAAAATATTGTACACACCCAATCAATCACTGTCACTTGGAAGTTAGAAATCCTTTTGAAAAAAAGCAAATGATATGGTAGTTTCTCATTGATTGTAGGTATCATATGGCACTAACACGTATACCTTGCAATCACTGGACATTTTCTCTGTTAAGAGACATTAAGAAAAATAAGAAAAAAATTGCCTTTGTGGGAAAATGGTAGAAGCCTTCAAAGTTTAAACCAAAGATGTAAGTAAACCGTGGACTAATAGTGACAGAACTTACATATAGAAACATCATTCTATTCTAAGCTAGTAGCTCTTTTTAGAGTGAGAATAAATTCAAGTGGTACCCACGTTATATAAATAGATTTTTTATTAATACATGATTGATGGCTAAAGAAGGACTAAAATGGAGAAAAAAAAATTTGAAGAAGATTTGGATTATGGGATACAACATCACATATTCACCTCATCGAGAAAAATTTACAACCACAAGAACACATATATCTCCCTTGGAGTTGCAATCGCCATCTTCACCTGACTCTTCGTCATAGCTACCTTGCAATCTCCTCAGTACATTTGAAGGTTCTTCACAGTTAGTTCATCAACTTGGTATTGCGCCCACGAAGTTTCCTAACAGTTATCCTCAAGTTCAAGTGATTAGTCCTTTTTGTTCTAATATCTCCATTGAAAGCCCAGTTAGTACATATCATTAAATTATGCTCACTCTTTCATTTGCTTCTTTTGTTGTATTTGACTTGCGTCCCCCTCTTTGTTCCTTGATCCTCCTTAAAACCCCATTAATGGCAATATCGAAAGCATCTGTACTAATCTCCAAACCCTGACTGGGATTTGCATACAAAAACTTGGGTATAGATTCAAACACTTTCTCTCTTATCCTTCTCACGTCTTCCCTGCTGAAAGACTCAAGCACTCGTCTTATAGAAATAGCCCCATTTCTCACATCCTTCCGGTCTATAAACACCGAGAAACTCGCTGGGTCACTCGGAAAGAACCATTGATATTGATCATAAACGCTTCTTTTCCAGAAAAACACTGGGATCGAGCCAGCCAACATGCAATCAAACTGAGAACGCCTCGTGTACGCATCACCTCTGGGCTGTAAGCAGAAGTCCGAGTCCAAGAACGCTTCAATAATCGCCGAAGTACCATCTTGGCACCGTGTTCTGGCGCAGTCCACGACTCGGCACGAGTCAGACTCATTATAACAGTAACTCAGTAACAATGATCTGAAGTCATTCTTTATACTGCGTTTGCCTCCTACAAAAGTAAAGAGACTCTTACGTTTACGAGTACGGACAAAGTTTAACCATTGGCGGATGTCTGCGTCGGATCGAGGGTGGAATCCAGTGGGGTAAGGGACACTGACATCCAAAGGGTCCCACTGGCTTCGTTCAATGGTGAGTCGTGTGATATTTTGCATGAATGGCTTGTTAATAAAGCTCGATCCCCAATCTGCATCGTTGGTTCGTCGAAAATCCCACGTCGCCCGGCCAAACATGATGAAGTGATCAGAGCCGTTGGATCTCTTCCAATATTGTTGGTTCTGGACCCACCTCGTCAACATTTCACAGTGCCAGTCACGTTCCATTGCGCTGGAATTAGTAAACAAATATTTTCCAACCGCAATTCCAGCGTAAAACGGTACGTAGAACGCCGCAGCCGATTCTGGCTCCATTGTTCTACACTTGTAGTTCAACATCCGATTGTGATATATGATCTCCCCGGCAAACATGTCAGTCCAGTACCACGCCGGGGCAAGGTTTTCCGGCACAATCCCGGCGAGTCCAGTGGCTCTGGGACCAAACCCGTTGTTAGAAAGGGCATTGCACCGAGAATGCCATGGATCTAATTCGTGGCATTTGTTCAAGAATTCTCGATTAAACATTTCTGGCAGGTTGTATACGTAAACCTTGCCGGACTCACATTTTTCTGCATGAGGGGCAGGGAATAATTGTAGTCGAGTGGATTTATTGTATATATGTGGAGTATCAGTGACGAAGATTAGAAGGAAGACTAGGAAGAGACTGGTGACGAAGAGCCATGCACGATGGTGAACGAAAAAGTAAGCTTGACCTGGGGAAAATGTCTTTTTACACACTAGGGTACTTTTGGATTTCTTTAAGGTTTGAAGATCAGGCGAGGAGTGACCAAAAGGGGGAATCATCCTACTGTCAATGGCTGTGTTCACTTCACACCCACATACACAGAGGAGAGAGAGAGAGAGAGAGAGAGATTCCAGAGGTTTTATAGTACGAGCAATGCTATTGGGTACTCTTGCTTGGGGTAACCGACATGGCGATGCAAGTAGCTATAGGTCTCGTTAAAGTGAACTTGAAGAACAAGCACACAGATCGATGGAATTGATTTTCATTATCTCAATTGCTTCAGTTTCCTCCTTGATATCTTCGGTGACTCGCCTGCATTGATCCTTTCTTTACTGACTTCCATGACATTGACTTTGACACCTTCAATGTTAAGTTGACACGCAGTTCCTCACATTATATTAACTTAACTTTATGTTCAGAATTGATGAATTATAAAGACCCCAGATATATATATAATGTGGATCAAGCCCCGAAAACTTTAATTAACTTTGTTTCATTGAACTTAGATTACGAGTGGCCTAAGAGAAAGGATTGCATGTGATTTAGATCTGGCTTGTCAACTCACCCTAAACATAGATGAAGAATACCTAGGTCTTTGTAATTTATAATTTACTATATCATACGGAACTCATAGAGGGCATCGAAGCAAAAAAAGTTGATATATTCTATACAGGGTTTCATGTGATAAAATTATCAATCTTCTGTTTTTTTTTTCTTTTTTTTTTTTGATCTTGTGATTGGGAGGAATTCCTGCAGTATTAGAGAACCTTTTTGCTAAGTTTACCTGATATTTAAATTGATATTGAATATTTATATAATAAAGTAATTTATAATTCAAATTTCAAAAAATAAACAAAATGACTTTTATTTTTCGCGGTTCAAATCGTTTTAAATTTTACTTTAAAATTAATCTAACGGCTAATATTAACACCCTAAATTTAATAAGAAAAATAGGCTCATAAGGGTGTGTTTAGAGTGACTTTTTAAAAGTACTTTTAAAAATTATTTCTCATAAGTGTTTAAAAAAAAATAGTGTTTAAAACCGTCCCACCACTATCTCTACCACCACCACCTCCACCACCACTACCGTTGCCACCACCACCACCACCACCGCTTCCACTATCGTTGCCACCGCCGCGATCGCCTCCATTACCGCCATCATCGTCGTCGTCGCCACCCCCACCACCACTGTCATCATCGCCACCCACCACCACCGTCGTCGTCGTCGTTGTCCCCATCACCACCGTCGCCGCCACCGCCACTGCCACCACTGATTAGTGGTTAAAACTAGCATATTACAAGGCTCTTTTAAGACTATTTATACTTTGATGGAGTTTAAATACTAGCATTTAAGGCCATAAATTGTACAAGGGACTAAAGGTGATGAATATCAAATTTTTCATGCAACACCAGCATATTCTAGAGCAAAATTGGAAAAGCTTGGACTAAGCCTATCACGTTCGAACGCCAACTAATGTTCAAACGTCCACTTGAAGCCCAGACTGCTAAAAGATGGTGTGTGCAGCCAAAATAAGACTTTGAGGTACTTGAGTACCACGTTCGCATGCCAACTCACGTTCAAACGTCTACTTGATTTGATTGAAGACCAGAGTTATAAGTGCAAAATGTCAAGTTCTGCATGAAGTGTGGAAGTGGGTTTCCACAGAAGACCACAGACCACTTTAGTGATATGACCAAACCCCATCTGGCATTCGAACGCCCCTAAAGCAAAGACAAAAGACACGTTCGAAGGTCTATAAAGCCAAAATAGAAACAACGTTCGAACGTCCTCCACAGACTGCCTATAGAGTAGCTGGTTTTCACTTAGATTGGGTGGCATACACTATTCATCTTCTCTTATCTTCCCCCCTCCCCTTCCTTGCCTATAAATACTCCCATTAAAGAAGCTTCATGTGTGCAATTTTTCTCTTGTAAAGTAGGGAGCTAGAGCTTGGTTAGTAGGTTTAAACTACACCAAGAACTAGTAAGGAGTTTGAAAGGAGACTTAGACTCCCACTCATTTTAATTAATCTTAGATATATGTTATATTTACTTATATCAAGAGAGTCAATTCATTTTTTGGTTGAGGAAGCAACTCTCCACTTGTTAGTTGAGGAAGCAACCCTCCATTTGTTGGCTGAGGAAGCCACCCTCCAAAAGTGATCAGTTTTCTTCTATTTTCATTGTTTATGTCTTTCACTGCCATTGCTTGAGCTTCCTTCTTCCTTAGAGGAGTGAAATTCTTCCACTTTTCTAGAGTTTTACCAAAATCGTGAAGGGTGGAACGTGATTCACTTATTCTTTGGTGAAGATCGACTCTTCGCTTATTGTATTTTACCTTGTAAGTTCTCTACTTAGAGGGATGAGTATCACTCACTTTTTTAGTTTTACCCAAGCCATGAAGAGTGAATAGTTCCTTATTCACTCTTTAGTAAAAGGTGATGAACATGTATTGATTATCCAGAAGTTATATTTTGTGCATTTTCCTTATGCTTTAATGTTTTATATTTCACTTATTGAATGATTGAATGCATCTAACAAAGCTAAGATACTTTGTATAACTACGAGCTCTTTCTATGTCACGGATGACTCTTGCATGGAAAAACCCGTTGGTTTAAGGCAAGTACCTCGGCTAAATCTTCATGACACATTTCAATCTTCACTATTATTGTGTTTTATCTAAAAAATGGAACATTAATGTCATGATTTGATGCTTTGTAGAAACACTTGCTTGTTTATAGACGGGTTAAATCTCAGCACAGGCAATTTTTGTCAACTTCTAAAAAGGCATCAGAATCATGTGTTTAATTCTCACAGTCCATCTTTACCTTCTGATTAACTTGTTGTTGACACGGGAGTTAATTGAGTTATAAAACACAAGTGTAATAAATCGGATGGTTAACTACATGTTCTGATCCTCAAGCTAAAGGGTGACTATTTTATATGTGAATTTATCTTATATTTTATCTAGAAAACTCTTAAAAAAAATCTTCTATTCTATTCAAAGAAATCTCATAACTTCAAACTCTCAAATCACGAATCCTAAACCAAAACTGAACCCATTTAAAGTTAATAAACCCTAGCCCGCCTGGTTTTTCTTTTCTTTCTTTTTTTTCTTGTTCACGGTCAAGGGTATCTGAGTCAGTTAACGTGCACCTCAACAAATCTTCTTCTCGGTTCGGTCAAAGACAACTAGCCTGCCTATTTGACCCATTTATTCTCCTCCTCTTCTACTAATTCCAAAAAATTATACACCAACTTTTTCAAAGGCTTGTGTTTGTAGTCCTTGTCATTATAATCCTCCTAAAATCAATAGCATTTCGTCAAAATATATCATATCTTTTCATCTTAGTAGTCCATAAAATACCAACTATTACGCAACTTTAAACTGCCCTTTTGGCCCTTCTCATTATCCCACCTTCAAAACAGAAGAAAGAGAGAGAGTATAATCTTTTATCGATTTTTGAACTCATGTATAAAGCATACTTTAACGAACATTTCTTTCAAATTGTGTGAAATATGTATCTAAGTTCATTTTCTTAACGGGCTCCACATTTGGGTAAAACATGTATCCCTATTGCTCTAAAATTTGTTGTGATCAACAGACAATTCTCAATCGATTGCTTGTGAATATGTTCAATTATCTTGTTTTAGGACTTATTTGAATAAAATTCTAAAGTGATGAACACACAAAATGATTATTTAATAAAAGAAAATTCATTTATTAATCCAATCGAATGAGTTTTAGTTACAAAGAGACTAAATTAACTTCCTTTAATTACAACACTAAATACTCCCTAAAATTAACTTCAAAATTATTCTCAAATGCCCTAATCATGGGTCTTGTGAGGGGGGAGGGAGGTTTGAGTTGTTCTTCCACTCCCTTATTGTTTGCCTTTTATAACCATCCCTTCAACAATTTCATCGATAATTAATTGGTCTGTAACTCTCAGACAGTTATTCTCTTCTTTCAAACAAGGTCATGACTAATTATTTTCCACCTATTTTCAGATTTTGACACATGACAACTCTTTAATGTCTTTAGGCTTGTAAACTACCCATGCATTGAATGTTCTTATAATTTTATATTTTAAGTCCAAATAATCCCCCTACCTTATTTTGATTTAATAAAATGCTCTCCTGACTATATTTATCTTCTCCCCCTGACTATATCCATCTTGATGTAGAGTGCTCGCTCTCAATCCTTTTCTCTACGTCTAGTTGTTTATGATTTAATTTGTTCAAAAAGTGATCAACTTTAGATTTATTCAACTAGTCAAAGTATACCAACGTTTTATGATCACAGTTTTTTTTCTTCATGATGGCTAAATAAATTCTATCAACAAAGATATTACAATGAAATTCAAAACTATAGAAACAAAGCAAATATTTAATATGGGTTTATATTACATTTGGATGTAAAAAATAGTAGGTTCATTTGGTTGCCTTATTAGAAATGGATTGATTGGATAAAGAATCCAATCTAATACAATACAAATGGACAAAAGATAAGATTAAATAGGGTATTAGAATAATGCGTAATTTTTTCTAGTGTTTGGAATAATAGTAGTTATTTAGTTCAATCTATATTTTGATTAGGGAATTATTTTATCCTATTAATATTAATTTAATAAAAATATCCTCAATCAATTCAATGTGTGTCAAAGTATTTGTTACGTTGATGACAACTTGATCTTATCAGTTGTGGGAGTTATAATAGTANTGGGGGATGGAGGTTTGAGTTGTTCTTCCACTCCCTTATTGTCTGCCTTTTATAACCATCCCTTCAACAATTTCATCGATAATTAATTGGTTTGTAACTCTCAGACAGTTATTCTCTTCTTTCAAACAAGGTCATGACTAATTATTTTCCACCTATTCTTCAGATTTTGACACATGACAACTCTTTAATGTCTTTAGGCTTGTAAACTACTCATGCATTGAATGTTCTTATAATTTTATATTTTAAGTCCAAATAATCCCCCTACCTTATTTTGATTTTATAAAATACTCTCCTGACTATATTTATCTTCTCCCCCTGACTATATCCATCTTGATG